AAAGAAATAATAAAATATTATAGAATTCAATTAATATCTGTAACAGATCAAGCAGATAAACCTGTGCAAACAATATTTCTCAGCAGCTTTAAACATAGGCATACTCATTTTACATGTAAATATAAGCTCTTCCATTTAGTTTTTATAATAAGCTACGAGTTAAAGATAGCAACACTTCTGCATGAAAACTTACTGTCCCTTAGTTAACTTTCTAACTCTGATGTACCTGAAAACCTAATGAGGTTAGGTATAGGTTTCCTAGTTTCCTAGGTAACAGATTCTGAGGTAAGTATCTTCACCCAGGAAGTTTTGGTGTGTGTGGGGGGGTAGGATTCCCGAATTCTCTTGAGATGAGCACCCAAGGGACAGTGAAAACATAGAATTTTGCTGGAGGTGAACTGCAGGAGAGTCACAACTAAGGCCTCTAGCTACCTCCAAGGTGTTCCCAGGATCTAGGATGCCTTTCAGAGAAATCTTGCTTTAAGGCTAGAGATTGGACCTTTGTATATCTGAATCAGTTCAACTGGTCATTTGATGTAAATTGAGTGGGTGGAGAGGGATTTTAAATTTCTGTAGGATGCTCTTTTTGTGTGAGAGCAGTTTCTAAAGAGTCCCTTGGGTGGAACTGTCTGATACCTTCCTTAATCAGCTCAGGACTTGAATGCATTTTTACCAAGAGTTAGTAGACAGATTTACCTTTGGTAGAAAATAACCCCTGATTGTGTTCTTCCTCTGGTTCTGAAGGATTTGTAAAGCTATATAAATAATACACTTTGACTTTCTCAACAGGAAAGTATAACTACTAATAACACTGGTAGTTCTTCATGTCCTTTTCCAGCTGGGACTTTTTAAGCCATGCCCCTGGAATTATAAGAGGTACTGAGTTTTATAGACTTGAAGGTAATTTTTCATTAGGGTTAGCTCATCTATCTAAGGTGAGTCTGATCCTTATCTAACATCTATGACCCCAAGAGATAACTCCGAGAAAACTATGCAGACTGCTGACAAACATTTCCCCTGTCCCTTTGTGTGTTGGTGGATATCATGTATTGACCAGATTGATCTTATGTACCTGTTTGGTTTGGGGCAACATAGTACAGCAGAGTAGGGTGCTTACCTTGAAGGCAACCAACTCACACTGGATCCTTAGCATTCTAGACCATAGTCTTTCAAACTTCCAGGAAAGCACAGACCAAGGAGTAAGCCTTGACCACCGCTGGGTGTGGCCCCAAAACAAAACAAACACCTGTTTAGTTTTATCTATAATTTCTATGATTAGTTGAATCAGTAGTTGACTATAGTTGATGGGGCTCTGAGGTGGTTTTTAGAGAAATTTTTCCAGTTGGGTCTCAAATTTTAGAACATTAGTTTGAAATTTAGAGTCAGGACAAAAATATAGGTTACTGGAGATACATGGAAATTTGAAATTTCTTTTCCTCTGCAATCAGGCCACTATTAAGAGATACTGTCTCCATAGGCTATGGAAGCAAGGACTTAGCTATAAAATTAATCTCTGAAAATGGTTGTATTTTATGTGAACAGTGGGAGAAACTGTCTGTGACTTGCTCTTTTGTCATAGATGGATCATTTGGACCTGCTTCACAGTTTCCCTCATATTCTACAAGTCACAAAGTTTTGATAATTCTTCTTTTCTAATGGCTCATTCCATCTCTTCCCTCCCATTTATTTTGACACCCTAGGTAATAATATAGTCCTTATCACCTCTATATAGATGGCTGAATTGCTGTCTTGATAGTACTCTCTGCCTTTAGTATTTGCCTAATCTGAGCTGTTTTACCTGTGAGATCCTGTATTGAGTTCCTTTGGCTTAGGATTTTCAAAAATTTTAATATTTAATCCAAATTTCCTGGATCATAAGTTCCCTGAAAAGTTCTTCCTGGAAAGATAGGTTTAGAGAAGGGTCTGGCTTTTGTTTCAGTTATTTTGTCAGCAATGGCAACGGTCATGGTCACGGTCCTCCCATTGTTCATCGATTTTGCTCGAGCGGGCCCAGTAACATTGGGAGACTTGTTACTGTGTTTGGCATATCGAATACATCACGGGGAGCTTGCCAGGCTCTGCTGTGTGGGCGAGATACTCTCAGTAGCTTGCCGGGCTCTCCGAGAGGGGCGGAGGAATTGAACTCGGGTCAGCCATGTTGGCTGGGTGCAAGGCAAACGCCCTAGCCGCTGTGCTATCGCTCCAGCCCAGCAATGGCAACCGTTTTCAGTAAATGATGTTTTGGGTATGGAAATGTATTGATCAATATCTAGCTTCCAGAAGACCATCTGTCTGGCAAAAAAAAAAAGACAAAGACTAGAAGAAATAAGATGACAAGATTGTACATAATCATCCCAAAGATAATGTAGCACTGTAGAACGCTCCCCCATTGTTCATTGATTTGCTCAAGCAGACACCAGTAATGTCTCACAACAAATTGTGAGACTTGTTACTGTTTTTTTTGGCCTATCAAATACGTCATGGGTAGCTTGCCAGGCTTTGCTGTGTGGACGAGATACTCTTGGTAGCTTGCTGGGCTCTCTGAGAGGGGCGGAGGAATTGAACTTGGGTCAGCCACGTGCAAGGCAAATGCCCTACCGACTGTGCTATCACTCCAGTCCAAAGATAATGTACCTATATTATTTTTATGACACGATTAATGAATAAAGCATCCCTCTTGAATCAAGAATTTGATGATCTAACAATTATAAAATGCCTTAGTATATTGATGAAACTTGCAGAAGATATTGCTGGAAGACATTACCTAGACTTGGGAATGATAGAAAAGACCTAGAAGAGGTGAAGTCTCATTTGTGTACTAAAATTAGGAATCTTGCAGGAGAAGGCCTCCAGGGCAAACAAGTGTGGGGCACAGCATTGGGTCACTTTACAAAGGAAATAGCCTGAAGAAAAGAAAAACATGGCACAGTTATGGAACAGTAACTTTTAGGTGACAAGTGAAACCATGTATATGGACCTTTTTTATTATAAAAATTCTTTAGCTGGAAAAGGCTTGCCTTGCATATTGCTGACTGACATTCAATCCTGACATTGAATATGGCCCACAATCACAACCAGGAGTGATTCCTCAGCACAGAGCCATAATACAACAAAAAAACTAAATATGTGTGTGTTTGTGCGTGTGCGTGTGTGTGTGTGTGTGTGTGTGTAGGTGGAAAATGTACATAAACTGTGTGTATTGTCCAATGCTATGATATATTTCTAAGCAATTAGTCTTTTGTATTAAAGCTTCAGGAAGTGTTCGTACAAAATACTGTCATGGTATTTTGATTTTTCAGCAATTTTTTACTTGATTTAGGAATTATGTTTGGGGATTATAATTCTTTCTTGGAATATCCAGGTTTTAGTTTTAACAGCAATATGAAATAAATAATAGAAACAAATAGGAGCAAATAAATATAATGAAAGTAAATTTTTAAGATCCATTAGTATTTAAAGCAATATTCATGTTTATTAGAGTTGTACTTATTACAGCTTTGCAAGTTATGTGAAATGTAAAAGTTCCTGGGTTTGTATGTTTAGATTTTTTTCAGACCTCTAGAGATAAAATCTGTTTGAAAATGCTTCAGACAAAAACAAAATTGACAATTTAAATAGAAAATGTCTTACTTCTCTGCTTATTTTTAGCTTACAGAGATACTTAAAATTTTATGACTCAAGTAATTTAGATATATATATATATCTAAGTATTTTCAGATATAAATATGAAAATAGAACTGATTATTTTAATGTTATACTGTTTTATCCTAAGACCAGTGTAGGGGTTCAGCAGCAAAGTACTTGCCTTGGAGATGTGAAATCTACCAGCTTCGAAAAAAAAAATTTTAAGTGAGCCAACTTTAATTTTATGCCATACAGTTCCCATGTTCTTAGATACATTTTGATATCTCATATATACCCAGTATTCAATTTCGCCTCAAAAAGGTGTCTTTGGGGCATGGGAGGAGGTGAGACTGCAGTGCACTCAGCTAGGCTCAAGGTGTACTCCTGGCTCTGTGCTCAGAGTTTATTCCTAGCGGTGCTCAGGACCATATGGGATGCCAGGGATTGAACCCTGGTCGGCTGCATGCAAGGCAGTTATCTTAGCCATTGTTCTGTCACTCAAGCCCCAATCTTATTTTTGAAATATGCTTATCTTGAGTATTTTCTTTCACTAGGGAAAATAGATAGCCATGCATAACAGAATGAAATTATAACACGAGAAACCAACATTCACAACATTGTAAATAACAAAACCTCGGTCAATAAAAATCTTTTCATTTAAAAAAATAATGAAAACTCTCTATTTCTTACCAAGTTCAAAGATTAACTCAGAAAGGATTAAAGACTTATCATGTTGTGGATATATATATAATACACACACACACACACACACACACACACACACATACCCCACTCAGCTATGAGAAAAGGTGAAGTCTTGCCATTTGCAAAAACGTGGATGGAACTGGGGTTGCACTAAGCCAAACAAGGAATACAGATCCTGGATAATCTCACTTATATTTGAAATGTAGAGAAACAAAGCAAAGTGACAGGCAAAGTCAAATGAAAAAATCATTGTATTCTGGAGGATTGAGGGTATCAGAGAGGGAAGAGGGTGCTGGGAAGGAGTCCTGAGAGGGAGGGATCCAATGGACTGTGGTAGAGGGACTTTAGTACTTTGGTGGAGAGTGTGTTGTGGTAATATAATTCAGAAGAGATGTTGTACGATACCTTTAACACATACACAACCTTGTAAACCTCAGAAATAATGCGTAAAAGTAAAGATTTTGTTCCAGAAGTGACACTTAGCCGTAATCTAATAGTTTCATGCTAATTTATTCTATCATTGAATTTTCTCAGCCTTTCTTTTTATTGTTATTATTTTTAATGAGTTGTGACCCTTTTATGTCTTATCTTCTGTAGTCAAGCATATAACTTAAGTTTTGGTTACATGATAAACATTGAAATATAGATTATGTGCTGTGTTTTCTTTGTAGGAAAATGGTTCTCCTGAAGAACATGCAGTTTATGTGTGGGACCACTTCATAGCACAATCTGCAGCTGAGAATGTGTTTTTTGTTGCTCACAGTTATGGAGGTCTTGCTTTTGTTGAGCTGGTAAGTGCACATTTCATTCTGTTTTTAATTCCTGTATTCCTTATAGGCTTGGCCCTGCTGCTCCCTTTTTTGTGGTATTGTTACTTTATATTACTTTATAAAGAATGAAAATAAAGGAGCCCAGTGCCCAAATGACATGCTATGCGTGCGAAAAGACCCTCGGTTTGCACTCGGGAAGCTCATGACTCCAAAGCACTTCTGGGTATAGCCCTGCTGGCCCTCGAGAACTGCAGGGCCCAGCCCTGATGGCATCCAACTCTGTTGGGATGGCGCCAAGCGGCACTACGTAGGGGACCAGAGCAAAGCATCATCAGACCTATCTGCTGGACCAGGTATCTCTGCAAGTTGTCCTTAGGCCCAAACCCCACTAGGGGGCTTCCAAAAAATAAATCCTTGAGTAGGTGCCGGGAAGTTAGTCGGAAGTTAAGATGCATCCCTTGCATGCAGGGACCACAGTTCTATCCCTGGCACCACATGATCTCCCAGCATTGCTGGGTACAACTCTGGAGGCCCCAGCACTGCACGGGTGACTCAAGACATCCCCAGTACCACATTCTCTGACCCTTGCATGTCCGAGAACTGCCAGGAAGGTCTTCCAGGCACCTCTAAGCACTACTTGAGCAAAAATTTTTGAGCAATTTTATGATCTTTAAAAAGAACAGTTATTTTTTTTATAGTAGTGCTTTTCCGTGCTAATCAGAAAGCTTTTGCTGTCTTTACATTACTTTTTTTTTAATTTCAGCATTATCGTTTACTTTCCGTACAATTTGTTACACTTTTTTCTGTGTACCCACTTGAACATGTATTATCTGTAAAATGTTTAAATTCCAAGAGACTGAATATTTGGGGATTTGATTTTTATCTCAAGTGAGGATTTATTCAGAAATTATATAATTAGTATGAAAGCTATTTAAAATTTCTGGTCCCCTGAGTATCTCCAGGTGCAGCCCTGGGGCCTCCAAGTGCTACCATGGTGGCCGTGGTAGTCTCAGGAACCACATAGCCCAAGTAGCTCCCTCTTGGCCCTCATCCTGGTAGGCTAAGAATTACTGAAAGGGAATGCCAATCTCCCCAAGAAAAGAATTAACCAATCTTTAAAATTTTTCTATGTTACACGCAAGATTATAAATATCATACCTTGTGCCAGTATGAACAATTATGTAATCAAATACCCCCATCTGGAATACTGTGTCTCCCTCGCTGTTACACCTTATGTCACAGAAAAGCATCAATGCTGTCATCGAATGATTAGTGTAATAAAAGGAACATTTACAGATTTCATTCCAGGTATTCTAACATGGACATTTTCAAAGCAGGCACAGTATTGGTTGTCTCATTTTTATGTCTATGAATTTAGAACATCAGGTAGGGCGTTTGCCTTGCATGTGGCTGACCAGGGTTCGATTCCTCCATCCCTCTCAGAGAGCCCGGCAAGCTACCGAGAGTATCCCGCCCGCACAGCAGAGCCTGGCAAGCTCCCCGTGGAATATTTGATATGCCAAAAACAGTAAGAACAAGTCTCACAATGGAGATGTTACTGGTGCCCGCTCGAGCAACTCGATGAACAATGGGAGGACAGTGCTACAGTGCTACTTCATATTGTCATGGAAATAAATGTCGTTCCAGGGCCTTCTCTCCCTTACATGCCTTCGTGCTTGCCCTCATGGTTTAGATACGAAACTGGAGGTGAGGCTCACTCTCCAAGCCTGTGTCCTCCCTTGAATGTGTATCCTGCCGGCTTTCCTCTGTGTTTCTTTGCTCACTTACTTACTTCCACTCTGGAGAAGTTCATGTTGAGCACACACTTCTCTCTTTCTCCTCATGTCTTTCTAAATTAAATAAGTGAAACTAGACATGATACCTGACCATATCTTAGCTAACCTGAATCTCTAGATGCTTATTTCAAAAGCAAAACAAAAAAACTCTATTTTTTAGCGTACACATTGTTAAATATATTGTTAATATGTTTAACTAAGGGATTTGGCATCTATTTGACATCATGCTCAGCTTATGGTTTATCAATACCTCTAGGCCATTGTTCTTCAAAAAAGTTTCGTTATAACTACAGAGTGCTATATAATTAACTTATCTCTGTAATGAATGATTTGCTTATGCTTTAAGACCAGTAAATATATCAAACTCTTCTTTCCTTAAATTAATTTCTCTTGTTAAAAATTAATTTCAGTTGCTTTTAACTACTGAATGGTGTATTTTAAATACTCTTTGTCACCTCCGCATACATAGATGTAGTACACACATAACCAGATGGATGTATATACCTCACATTGTACTTCATGTGTATGTAGCTAATGTTTTCTTCATGTGCTTTTAAATTACTTACAACATGGAATTTAACTGAATTCTCAGAGTAACTTCAGATATATATAAAAAAGTCTGTAAGACTAGTCAAAGTTCACATTTCTGTGAAATATAAATTCCCGTTTTTTAACTTTTGGACAATCCATGAAAACCTGTTTTGAGTAGTTCTGAAAAGGAACTTAAGATGCCAAAGTAACAGATGACCAATGTGTCGACCCTATTTTGCCTCTCCTTCTTGTCACACGCTGGTGGATATTTCTTCACTTTTGTTCCACTTTAATATAAAGCACACAGATGTCTCAGAACAAGACTTGACTTCTGACCTTGAGGCTCTTAGGGTCAGGGTCCTCAGGGCCTGTGAAATTATCACAAGCTGAGCTAAAGTTTTTCTCCATCACAGGAAGTAACCAGTAAGTAAGAAGTTAAAAAGGAGCTTTGTCAGAGAGACAAGATGGTCTCAGTAAGGGTCAGCTTCTGTAGTCTGCTGTCTCTGCGGGAGCCTCATGCATGGGAGGAGGGATAGAATATAACCACTGGCACATCACATATCTGTCAGGCAACACCAGGACTGAGAAGTCTATTTAACCTAATGTACCTTGTTTAGATTTTAAAATACCAGCGAAAGTCTCTCAATTTCATGTGTTTGCTACTTTTTGTGAAGTAGCCTTGAAGGGGCTACAGATAAGGGTGTGCAGATAGTGAGCACCTAAGAATAAGTGTTTTCTAACCTAATAAAATTAATTTCTTTTTTATGTATAACATTGTGCGCTGTTGTTTTACATAAATTATATTTTAGTAAGCTATGTAAGCATTTAAAAACTAGTGCTGTGATAAAAATAATGACGTATTTTAAAAGTTTTTCTTTTGCCCGCATCTCAGTAATATTCTTTCCTACCATCCTCAGAACTTCTATGGGAAAATCATGGTTTAATGGTAGACAAATATTCAGTTGGATTTTTCAGTATGATAGATGAAATAGTTTTATGTGGGCTAAAAACTATGTTAGCTTTATAAGAAAGTGAATTTTGATCAAATATTATAGTTTAGTTTTAGATCTTAGTAATACAAATTCTGTGGATTTCTGTTGAATTTAATTTTTTTAGTTGTACAGGACTAAATACATACACGTGCGTGGACAAAAAATTTTTATAGAACAATTCTCTAGTAGCATCATAATTTAAGTGCTAATAAATTGTTTTTCTTTCATTCTCATACAATTTGACATTATTTTTTCACTCAAATTTTTGAAAACTATAGCAACTATAGTTTCACAATAAATGTAATTGCTTATAGTACTTATATTGTGCTTTGTTTGAAAACAGGTATTAGTAGATTGTTATAAAACATAACTTGGCATTCACTAAATTAAAATTGTGTTCCATTGTTTAAAATTAAAATGTGCACTCAAAGATATCTGAAAATAAATTTGTTTTATTTTTAGAGCAAAATTAGTTGGAAAGCTTTCATATTCTGCTAATTGCTATTTTTTATAATAGAACATAATTTATGATTATATCCTATCTTAAAAGTTTTAAATTTCTCCTAAAGAATACATTTTAATTAGAGATGTGTTTTCAAGACTGATGTTTATTTTACGATAGTAAATCTTGGAGCTTGATCAGGTATAGCTCCTAAGAGCACTGCATGCTGGGTTCAGCAGAGGGAGAGTGCTCAGCAGTCAGGGAACCGTGCCCAAGTTCCATTGCCAGCACAGCCTGTCACCCACCCAGGACCTTCAGCTGTAGCCCAGCTGACCCTTCTTGCCACTGTGGTCTATGGCTCTGCGAGACCAAAGACGCCACATCCTTGACAGAGTATCAAGCTGGCCGGCCCAGTTGGTCAAACATATTCAGGCTTTAACCCTGATCCCCAGAGCACTGCTTTGGAGGGAAATTCCTTCAAAAACAATTTAAAAAAAAAAAACAAAAAAACGAGAGTGTGTAGAGCTAGCACAAGGACTAAAGCGTTGCCTTGTATAGGCCAACTTTGGTTAACTTGGTTCAATCCCTAGCCCTGCCTATAGGCCCCCAGCAACACCAGTAGTGATCCCTGAGTGCCAGGCCTACCTAAGTCCTGAGCACAGTCAGGTGTGGTCCAAAAACAAACAAAAAATCAAACAAACAAATGATGTAGGTTTATAAAGATACAAAATTATCATTTTTAAAATCTTAGAAATTTTATTTCATGCCAGATAAACTTAATGGTCATAATCAGAGTGCATTTACCAAAACCTTTCAGAAAGGCAAACAGTGCCTCTTAATATTACAATCTATTAGTTGTTAACTATTTAGTTCAATTGCTGGAAAATTAACTTCCATTTTACAAAAATACAAGTTTTAAGCTTTCTCATTTTTTTTTAACAAGTAACTTTGATGATGTCATTCTATTGCTTTTATTGTTATTCGGTTCAGAGTGTGTTTCTCTTTCCTGAGGGTCAGTTTGACTTCAAACAAGTTTAAAATTTTAGTTTATTTGGAAATTAGTTTGCTTCCCTTGTCAAGGCCCAGTTTCCAATCTCTGCTCACCTTAACTTTCCTGCTTGCAGTGCTCAGTAAATCCATTTGCATTTAGATTTTTTCCCTCTTAGTGAGTACTGATTCTTTTTAATATTTAACACATCAAACAATTTCAGTAAATATACTGTGTCAGTTTGCTGAATCATCTCAGTTATAAAATTAATA